TGTAGCCCATTTCTGTATGCGTTCAGAAGGTGCACTGTTTTCTTATATTCCAAGAGATAATGTGCTTGCTGGTACAATAAATACTGGAGCACCTGCTGGGACAATGTACATTTACATCTCTCCCAATGCAGCAATGCTGAAAAGCTATATTCTCACTTGATGGGGAAATGAAGGCAGCAACTAGATATAAAATAAAGCCCATTTATCAGTAGCAATTACAGTGTAGTCATAGTCTACTAATCTTTAGTTTTCTCAACAGAAAACCCTATTCATAATCTTACTGGAAAAAAGATGTATATAATATACTCAGAACTTTAGTTCTCTCTGGCATACACTGAAAGACAATATAGTTGTTTTTACAACCTCTTGCAGGGAATAAGCATGAATATATTCTGACGCCATGCTTCATGATTTGTTAAAAATTGACTATAATGCACTACCCAATTTCTCTATTATGAGCTTTTCTTGCTCCTTGTCAGAATGCTCTCAAATACATATAATTTAAAAATAAAATTAAATATTTTTTTTCATACAGTCTTTGCTATTGACCTCTTGATAACAAGTCTGCGTAAAGTAGATTATTTTTACATTAAAACATCATTATTCAAAGCTGCTGCTGTTATTCCAAATGGTACATGATGATACTGGAAAGTGTAACCTACCATTTTAACAATAATTCACATGAAAACACAATTCTAAAGGAATTTCAAAGGAAAAGAGGATGTATCAACAAATAGTGTAGTATTTTATTGGTTCTAATATCCTGAAATTGCCAAAACATCTCCTAAATTACAATACCTATTAAGGGCATTCTTATGTTAATACCTATTCTGGAAAGCACTTAGATTTTTACTTAAATCCCATTGACTTCAAAAGGATTTTAAGCATGTGCTCAGAGTTATGCACAGGATGAGGTGATTTCCTTATCTGTGCATTACAAAAGCCTGTATTGCATGAAGTATTACATGGAATAATATGACCTTAGATTATTTCAGTTACATTCTCTTGCAAACATCCCCTCATATGTATAGCAAGCCCTTTATTAAAGCATCTCTGCCTTTTACAAAGAACACCCAAAGTTTTAATTATGAGTCTATTCTGTATGACAAATAAGCAAAATTGAGTGCACACAAACATTAAACTTCAAAGATTTGTAAAATTTCAGCATGCAGTAGCTGGAATCCACATTTTTACTGTAATCTCACCTAAATTAAAAACTACCTATTATAGCAAAAATTAAAGTCTGTAAATGAATACAAAGAAGGCTCAATGCCTACAATTCTGATTTAGCCTGTAGTTAAGAAAATATATGTCATAAAAATACTAGTGAATTCCAGCGATAGATGAATACTTACTTGACTAATCATACTGTGCCATCAATATTTCGGGCAGGCACAGCTCCCTGAACTTTGCAGGTTCACAATCTTGGGATAATTTTCCAATACTCTTTCTGTCCTCCTAGTTTCAAATCCAAATTTGTGCAAAATGCAGTCACTTCTTCATCTACAAGACACACACAATGTGTCCCTTCCTTTCTCTATCTCCACAGCCAAAACTCTTGCTCAGGCAAGAGATAACAAGGATGTGCATAATGCAGTTTCCTCTTCTCAGGTCTCCTTCCTTTCTTCCCATCTTTCCCCTCACCAATCCTTCTAATAAGATGCAGTACATTCTACCTCTGCTGCTATGTGTTCTCATTTTCTACTGCACTTCCCATTAGTGCATTTTGCTTTCCACCTCACCAAACCCTTTTTCTTCATCACCATCATCATCAACATCAATTTCACCTCTAAACATCCCCCATTCCCACACTGACACTACACTTGAACAGTCTCCATTCTCCCAGGGTCCAAACCATCTAGAAATTCCTAGAAATTCAGTTATTTTGGCTAGTCTTCTATTACCAACCAGAGAGAAAGGATTGCCCAGTGGTTAGGCTGGTATTTGGGAGACCAGGGTTCAATTCCCTGCTCCACCACAGATTTCCTGTGTGACCACAAGCAAGTCCCCTAGTCTCGGTGTCTCAGTTCCTCGTCTGTAAAATGGGGACAAAAGCACTTTCACACCTGACGATAAATACATTAAAGATTGGGAGGTGTTCAGATACTATGGTATCATGGGCCATATAAGTACCTAAGATAGATCTAGTTTTGCCCACAATAGAAATTTCAAAGATATATACTCATAGAACATACACACAACAATCTGGACCTACAAGATATGTACCAAACCTAATCATGTAAAACACATTCTTGTTACATATGTGTGACCCGGTGGGCCTGGGGCAGCCCTCACTGGAAATGCTAACATCAGGGCAGGCTGCAAAAGGGAGAGCAGATACTCCCAATACTGGTGGGTAACACTGAAGTTAAGCTCCCCAATAAGTCAAAAACTGCTTCAGATCCCCCAAACTGGTTATCAAGAAGCAAAAAAAAGAAATCACACAGCACCCTTGATTGCATTCCAGTTCTCTGGCTCCCAATCAGCACCTAGGTCCAGTTCAGTGACATGTTATTTAAAAAACTCTGCTCACATATACAAAATGTTCTTCTGACCCCAAAGGGTCAGCCATATCACCATGTCAGTATAGGTTTGGATCTTATACAGAATACCACCCTGCCAGCCAATCCCTTAGTGTTTAAAACTAAAGGTTTATTATAAAGAAAAAAGGAAGAACAAGAAGAGAGATTTTAAATGGTAAAACAATCACATACATACAAAGATTTCGAAGTCCATATATCAGGTTTCTAGCAGTATTGGTGAGTTTGCTGGCTTGAAAGTCCCTCTAGATTAGAACACATCCACAGCTTGGATGGGTCATTCAGCCCTTTGTTCAGAGCTTTGTTTGCAGAAAGGTTATTCCAGAGGTAAGAAGCAGTAATGAAGACAAAATGGAAAAGATGCAGCTGCGTTTTATAGTCTTTTGCCATGCAGCTTGTGCTACCTTTGTCTCAAAACACAAGCTGCCCAGCACATAGCCTGGAAACCTTAGAGTTCTGTCCATAAGCATGCCCCTGCATGCCTTTCTGAGTCATAAGGCCTTGCCTTCTCTCAATGGGTCAATTGTATAGTTGATGGTCCTTAATGGGCCATCAAGCAGGCTAGGCAGTGCTGATGCCAAACTGTCTGGGGGTGTCACCCAGAAGTATAGCACAAGTTTTGAAATACAGACATACATACATATCTATAACCCATAATACAAAGGTGATACAAACATATAAACAAGATTATCGTCCTTGGCAAATTATAACATTTTTGCAGATACCTTACATGGCATATCTGGCATAACTCATTACAATTTTACAATATTGGTATTCATAATGTCCTAAAGTGTCCCCCAAATTCCATACAGCGTCACAATATGTTCCTCCTCATCTCCTTTATCTGTATTTTTACTGCAAGGTTCTTGGGGCAGGAACCTTGGCTTGCATAGGATTAGCAAAACCCTTTTATTGTTACTCTGTACTAGGTTCAAAATATCATCTTATGGCTCTTGCATGCTGGGCCAAACAGGACAGCAAAGCACAGATATCACAGATACTAGGAACATAAACATCACTTGCTGGTCAGCATAGACAAGAACAAGTCATGGTCAGCACTGTGTAAACTAGTTAAACTAAGTCCAGCAGCATTTAACCACAGCTAGATCACACCACACTGACTAATGAGTGATGGTTAGCACTGTAACATCCCAATAACATGAGGGGGTGAAATTATATGGCCCTGGTTATGCTACTGGGTGAATTGTATAGCTTGAATTACACAGGAGGTCAGATTAGATTATCATAATGATTCCTTCTGGCCTAAAAATCTATGAACACAATACACTTTCCAAGTAAAGACACAGATGTATGAGATACAAGAAAGAAGCAGGAAGAGATAAATGGGAGGAAAAGTAGAGGCAGCTCATGAAACTACCCCATGTATTATGTTCTTACATTAAAACCTGGATTCAGGAGGGGAAACTTCTATTACAAACATTACTGGCTGAGAAGGATTGGGGGTGGTGCTACAAACGCCCAAGACTTCACAGTAAAAGAAAACTGATCATCTTTAGAATAGAAAGTGTAGACTTTCCCCTCCTAATTCTCAGACAGTACTGTTCAACACTGCTTTTGGAGTGACTCTTTTAGCAAGAGATAAATCTATATTTGGGAAAAAATCTAAGATTAATAAAAATAATTGTGTGACCAAATATAGTTAACAATTCTTACATAAACAAGAGCCATCTTGTCATCTGCAAATTACTCATGAACATGTCTGTCTTTATTAATATATCAGTATGGTAAATTGATTTTAAGTCTACCCATAACGCTGCATTAATATTTGCCACATAAAAATATATCTTTACACTCCCCCCACTCCCCAATCACTTATAAAATTGATCAGAAAAACGAGGATATCTTAAATAGCGTAACCACAGCAGTCATGCTGTAAAATGAAAGCTACATTTTCTGCTAATCAGAAGCAAGATGGCACTGTTGCTAAAGATCAAACATTTAATTATGTTGTTCTTTTCCCTATGTAGGTATAATCAACATTACTGACCCACTAAAACAAGATATGTTTTACAGAATGCAGCAGAGTTCACAGAATATACAATACCCTTTTATAGACTGTAGAATTATCATTTAATTGGGCTACAAATTTAACCCCATTTTACATCAGTTCCAATAAATAATTTTCAACTATAGAATACATTTTCCATAATGCATTATGTTCACATGGCAATGCATGACATTTCAATGTCTGGAAAGAGCTGTTTAATTGGAAGGATAATTTTTCATTGTGATTTTAAGGTAATGAGGCTGTTTCACACCTGCTGAAGGTGGTCTGCACTAAAATAGCATGTACGGGAAAGATTGTAAAGGATTAAAAGCACATTGGAAACTAAGTCATCATTTGTAGAAGTGAATAGCTAGCTTTCATTAAGTGAATCCAAAACAAAACAAAACAAAATCCAGTAAAATTAAAGTTAAAAATACTGAGTTCTCTGTTACCTTCAGTGATTTTGCCAGTTTCACATGGTTATCGTAAACTAGAATGTCTACAATCAGATTTCTCAGCCGATGGATGAGAACTTTATCTCCTTCAAGGTCACTTTCTTCCACAAGAACCTTCCAAGACGGGTGGGGACATTTTGTACCATCCCATACCTGCCGTGAAAAGAAATTATTTCATCAATCCCTTTTAATACTTTTAATGTGCAAAATAAAAGATTTTAAAAGTTGATTACTTTAGATTAAATTGTTACAAACATATGTAACTACTTACCTTCACATGGTTAAATATTTTGAGTCAAAATAGTTACTAAGGTTCCAGTCCTTTCCTCCTTAACTAAGAAAAACTCTCACTTGATTCAGCAGGAATTTTTCAAGTTTAAGTAGTGTGGATCATGGCCCCTATATATGTTTTTTTATGCTACACATGCTCTAATTTGGTATTCACTACTTTTTTTTCCCTCTCCAAACTTTGTCACTCTTTATGATGAACAAGCCCAGTCTCTCAAAAGGTAAATCTAACATCTTAGCCTGAACACCTTAAGAAAAGCCAGAGATTTAAAAACCAAGTAGTAGTGGGGAAGAGTGATGGGAAGTGCCACAGATCTGGCTGTGGTAAGTGACACAAAGACTGCTTGAGGGAATGTCTAGAGAGAATTTGGCCCTCTTGTTAACATGGATTTGATTTTCTAGGATGCTTATCAGGCAGTTGGATTGGGAGAAGGAAAAAACTTCTCTCAGGTATAAAAATTGTACCTGGACCTATGAACCAAGCCCTGGACATTTTTTGGTGGGTTCTCTCATGGTGCTCAGTTGGAGGAGATGCACCCAGTGGTGTTTAGCTGGCCTTTCAAAGATTCCTCTCTGTCAATAGACCTTTTTGCTGCTGTGGAAGGCAGGCCAAAGGAGGAAAAGCCAGTACATGCTAGGAACTCTCTAGAAAGAGTTGTTTTCTCCCAGGGCTGAAGGTATCTGGTATGGTGGTTCATTATGGACATTTTATTGTCATTTGATATATACCATTCAAATCTGGAATTTTTTATGTGGCTCCACATGGGGATAATTGGCAACAGAGCAAACAACCAGTTTAGGGCTTCGTAACAACAGAGACCTAAATTAAACACTAAACTATTAGCAGTTACTAGCTTCTTAAAACTACAGTTTAATCTATACCCTAAGAAATAAAGTGGCAATGTTATTATCAAAGTAGACAATAATGACTGTAATCAAATAATGGTTCAGAAAGCTGCTGTTTACAGTGTAGGAAAGAAACTAAGGGTAGATAGGGCCATAACAATTAAATGTTGGATATACAAGGAGACACGCTCACAATCCCAATGGACACTGTTTTCTAGACAGTTCTCAATACATGGTGCCAAAGCATGTTTTCCCAAGAGTTAGGATCTGCAGAGGCAATTTGCAAAAGAAAGAAAAGAATTTTCCCTTTTTGTCTACTTCCTGTAGCTTAGACGGAAAGATATCTTCTGTTTGAAGGGCTCTCAAGAGAAGCATTTACAAGAAATACATGTCATGTGCAAAAAAGCTAGAGAAAACATACGTGCTCAACCTGACAAAGCAGACAAAAGGAGAAAGCCACCCACCCTGAAGACCCAGAGCAGGAAAAGGAACTTACTGCCAGGAATCCTAAGAAGTTCTAACTTCCACCAACAACTGCACCAGGGCATAATTGGAAACAATTTTGTATCCAACATCTTACCTGATTTGGAATATTGGTGTCTAAATTATCTGAGCTATTAAAATGTTGCCAGTATTTTTGTACTTTAAAGAACCAGAATAAGGCACCAAGGATTTCCTTTACTGTTGGTCTCAGGAGTAGAGCTGATCAATTGACAGAAAAAGCAGCAGTGTATGTGGATTTTGAAAATTTCCCCCTCATTTTTCAACTGGCTGTATTTGGAACAACTACGTAGTCCAACACTCAAAAGAGGGAATTGATAAACTCTGATCCAAAGAGCTGTTTCCCCCCTGTCAGATCTAAGGACAACTATTTAATTTAATTTTTGATAAGTCCTTAGCTCAGAGGTGGGCAAACTACGGCCTGCGGGCCGGATCTGGCCCCTCAGGGCTTTGGATCCTGCCCGCGCAATTGCCACCCCCATGGTGCAGTGGGCCCCGCGCTGCTCCCAGAAGCAGCCGGCCCCACATCACTGCGGCCCGTGGGAGAGAGGGGCAGAGGGCTGAGTGTGCTGCCCTTGCCTGTGGGTACCTCCCCCGAAGCTCCCATTGGCCGCGGTTCCCAGGAGCCTGCCCTGGCCCCGGTGCGCACCGCTGCCACTCTGGAGCTGCTCCAGGTAAGAGGCGCCGGGTTGGAGCCCGCACCCCGAACCCCTCCTGCACGTTGCACCCCAACCCCCTGCCCTGAGCCCCCTCCTGCACTCTGCACCCTCTCCTGCACCCCAGCCCCCTGCCCTGAGCCCCCTCGTACATCCCGCACTCCTCCTCTGCCCCAACCCCTTGTCCTGAGCCCCTTCCTGCACACCGCATCCCCTCCCACACCCCGCACTCCCTCCCACACCCCAACCCCCTGCCCCAGCCCTACATTCATGGCCCTGCATGCAATTTCCCCACCCAGAGGTGGCCCTCGGGCCAAAAAGTTTGCCCACCCCTGCCTTAGCAGGAGTAACCTGAAGGACCTATGGATTCCTTTTAAGGACATCCCTTTTCATACCCATTAGCCACTAAGGCCTCTTCCAAGAAAGACCTTTAATCTGTGGTTCCTTTTCTATTTTCATAGATGTGCATGAAGCTCAAAATTCCTTCTTAAGCAGTTGAAACACTGGGAATGAGTAGATGGAACCAATATTTTGCTAGAACAAGAAGCCACTGACTCTTTTTCTTTAAAGACCTGTCCATTTCTCCATCCCTGGTACTGCAGGGACCAACTCCTGTTACACTATAAACCAGAAATTTGAACATTAGGCTATTTAAAAGGCTAAAAAGGCTATTTAGTATGCTAACTAAATCAAACCTGTGCAGGAAATTGGAACTGGTTCCTTCACTGCTGATGTAACGACAGAAACTGAGGGACAGCCAGGGGTGGAGGCCTTTTATACTCATGGATACAAAATGTTGCAATAAGAAACAACCATGCACCCCTTATTTGCTTTACAGCTTTGAATGGTTCACAAGTCAAGTCTTTATCTCCCCTTCTCCCAGTTGTTCTTTTGATTATATAAAACTGACACAAATGCAAGAGTCTATCAAACTTGAAATAAACAGAGAGCAATGAAAGATTAATAATTTAAGGAATTACTTGCCTGTGTCCTTACACAAGGATCTCTCAGCATGAATGTGTGCTCATTGAGGTAATGAACTATGAACATTTTACCTCCAGTTCATAAAGTGCTTAAATCATTTTATTAGTCCTTGTTTGACATCCATTTTACATGGGTTTGCTTGAATTAAAATATTTGTAACAGCTGTAGGGAATGTTGCAGGATGTAGTTTAAATAACATTCCTTTTTATGTCATGTAAACAATGTTCTGCAGGAGAACATCTATGCTGCTTTAATGAAGGAATAATGCACTATTTTCTGCCTATCTAAAAATACTAAAATATGGCTTCAGATAATTGTTTCTTGGTTTTACTATACATAAAAGCAGAAATACTCAGATGGAAAACATCAGACTGTCTCTTATTTCTTATCACTAAACTCATGGAGGGGTTTCAGGATAAAATCAGTCCACTGTCGCTGTTGCTAATTCAGGAAAATTACTCAGATAGATCCCTTTTCACTTAGCTGATGTTAAGTATTAATTCCCAGAAAGTGCTTTCAAGCAATGTGACACACTGTATTTTGTTTCTTTACTCAAGCACTGATCCTGTAAAGAACTTACACATAACTAATAAAGGCTAACTCAAATACCTCAAAAAGATAGCATACTCAATCCATCCATCCATATGCTAAAAAATGCTACATAGTGCATTAAATTATATCCTGCATATGTTCTAATGAAACATAATACAGAGAAGTATACATAAAAGAAGTCTGTTATTTAATTAGCAACAATGTAAAATGTAAAAACAGACAATATCATTTTTTCAGCATTAAGAAATTCTGTAATTCCTAACTACAAATGCTTGTGAAATCATATTCTGAACACATACCTTGTCAAACCAATATTTGTGAATAATTCTAGAGCAATAGGCGAGCTGAATGTCTTTAAAGACAAATGAAAGTATGAATTTGTATGAAAATGAATTGGTTGAGGATCATATATTTACTAAAATAACCCTTAAATGTCGAAAAGACTGCTATATAACATTATTTAAATATAAGATAAAGTGAGTTCATGAAAACCCTGAAACATAAAGCTTGAAATAAGAATCTAATAGTCAATCTGTAACAACTATTTAAATTATTTAAATTGTTTAAAAATCCACCTTGAGAAGAAAGGAAGATCCATCCACTTCTGCTTTCCCTACAAGTTGGCAAGTAAGGTCAAAAAACAGCATTGGCTGGATACCAGACAATTTTGCTGTTGGCCCACAGACTGAAAGATTACTAGCTGCCCACGTACGTAGTTCTTCTATTGTTTTCTGTTCTTCTTCTGTGAAAGAGTACGATTTACTAGAGGTTCGAGGCACTATCGGTGCTCCTACGGTTCCATCAAATGTCAACGATGCAAAGCCAATACCAGTAATCCCCTGCATCTGTTTATTGTATTCCCTGATCTACAACACAAAAACAGGAAGAAAAAAATATTGACTACAGTGCATAAAAGGTATAAAAATTTCAATATCTTATATGCATAAAAATGATTGTTGCCTGTTATTGCTCTTTAAAATATATTATTCCTACAAAATAAGAACACATATCGAGGAAGGAACCAAATGAAAAAAACCCCAAACAAATGAATACACCTGGAAAACCAACAAGACAAGCAACAGAAAATGCAACCTAACACCAATAATTCCTGTACTGGCAGGATCCAAAATGTATATGCAAATAAATTATAAAAATATCTAGCTCTCATATAGAGCTCTTCATTCATAGACCTCAAAGTGCTTTCCAAATGGAGGTAAGCATCTGCCCTACTTCCCTTTACAGATGAGGAAACAGAGGCACAGAGTGAGGTGAAGGTCAAAAGTATAACTGGGTTAAAAAAAATTAGATAAGTTCATAGAGGATAGCTCCATCAACGGCTATTAGCCAAATTCGTTAGGGATGCAACCTATGCTCTGGGTGTCCATAAACCTCTGACTGCCAGAAGCTGGAACTGAACAACAGGTGATGGATCACTCAATAATTTCTGTGTTCTGTTCATTTCCTCTGAAGCATCTGTCATTGGGCACTGTCAGAAGACAGATGATCATTGGTCTGACCCAATATGGCTGTTCTTATTTTCTTATGACTTGCAACGGGTTACTCAGCAGACCATTGGTAGAGCCCCAGTATCATGAGTCCCAGTCCAGCTCCTTATACCCTAGATCACACTGCCAGCTAATAAAGTAGATTGTTGAACATTGCCCCTTCAGTTCCTCAATAATAAAATACACCAATTCTACTCATATGACAACACAATAAATAGATCAATTTTCCCCTTGATTCATGCATGTAACTTACCTTAATGGGAGTTCAGAGACCTAAATATTCTTCTTCCTGCTACTCTGCAATGGACACCTGCCTGCCAGATGACTGATTTAACTGTATACTTGCAACTATGGGCATGTCTACACTTACCTCTGGAGCAATCAATCCAGCAGGGGTCAATTTATCGTGTCCAGTGAAGACGCGATAAATCAACCGCCGCGCACTCTCCCGTCGACTTTGGTACTCCACCGGAGCAAGACGGGGTCGACGGGGGAGTGTCAGCAGTTGACTTACCGCCGTGAAGACACCGCGTTAAGTAGATTTAAGTACGTTGACTTCAGCTACGTTATTCACATAGCTGAAGTTGCGTAACTTAGATCGATACTCTCCCCCATGATAGCATGAACCCATGATAAATGAATAGCCTTTAGCTCTGCTGCAGATATTGGCAATATATTCTATACTTGCACAAAACTATGCAGCACTGAGGGAAAAAGAAAGCCTTCTTTCTTCAGTTTTATTCATTTATCTATGATCAAAAAGATTTCAGCTATATCATCAAATATTTTATGTGGCATTTCAAATGAGTCTCCCTCACAGATGTTTTGCGTTTATTTCCCATTTATTTGTTCAATAATTTATCAAGTACCCATTGCCATAGTATCTCGGCAACTTATAGACTGAAAACTCACCACTAGACCTAAGAGAGAGAAGTTTATGAAGCTCAACTTCCTATGTAAGTAAGACAGGAAACTATACTGGCTCATGTGGAATCCTTTGAGCTTTCATCTATCCCTTCAATTTAGACTATTTTTGCCAACTATAGATTTGATTTCATGCTCCTTTCTATGGGCTCTGTTTGTGTGTGCCATGCTCCTATGGTCTCTATGAGTAACCTTATGGCCTTATTATGGCCATCAGGAAGTTTAGACTTGAAATTAGATGAAGGTTTCTAACCATCAGAGGAGTGAAGTTCTGGAACAGCCTTCCAAGGGGAGTAGTGAGGGCAAAGTTCTCAAACCATGGTAAGCAATGATACACTATAAAAGAGCTATGTAATTAGCACTTAAACTAATTTTAAAATTTAATTAAATGTAGATAAGGCTAACCTGTGAATTTAGTAAAAGATGACAACCTTTTCCTACAAGAAATGCTTTTTATTATTCCTGGAATCTTGGCTGGCGGCAAGAGAGACACTCTCTGGTATAAATAGTTATCACTATAGCAAAACGTCTAGTGGGGAAAAAAAAAATACAACGAAACAGATGGTGTGGACCTTGCTTGCAATGAGTAAGCAACTACCTTCACTTATGGTTTAAGTGAGTTTCTGGACAAGTAATTTTAAACCTGAAGAACTGAATGTGAAATCCTGACCCCACTGAAGTCAAAGGCAAATTCCGACTGACTTCAATAGGACAGGATTTCACCTGGAATATATTTGCACAAGAGCTGCTAATCTCCAATGCTACATGAATAGACTTTAAAAAGCCAAATATATCTGGATTCAAAAAAACATTATCTACCTAGTTCAACAGAAGGGAAAGTGTGATCATAAATTGAATATTAGACTGGATAATAGCATCTCTGAGGTAATTTTCCATCAAAACTGATTGTTAAATTATAAAGGCAAGAGCAATGTAAGAGACTATTACAAAACTACTGCTGCCATAGATCATCAAAATGCCTCACAAAGACAACATAAAGCTAATCTATAACTGCTACAGTAAGAAGAATCTAAACTAAATCTGAAAATTGATTTCCAGTTGGATTAAAGGAATTGAAGACAGTCTTTTCAAACCTGGATGTCACAAGTTCAAAGGCCTGATCACAATTTACATATTTCACAACAGAATGTCTGGTAATTTGAAGACAAAGGGTTTGTTTGTTTCTTAAATAGAACAATATTTCACTGTGGATAGAGTCGTCGCTGATAAATTCCTTCTTAAACTGAAACCAGGCAAAGAATATACTGCATGTTGCTTATAAGGCATTGGCAAAACAGTAAAGTTATTATTATACGCAACTTAGTTAACTTTTACTATTCTAAATTTGCCAGGTGACTGAACCTTGACCAGCTCAATCAGATTCTCAGATTATTCCTGAGATAGAGGATTGATGCCTGTGACAGCTGCTTTAATGAAAACATTTTCCTTCCCAAAATGATGTCTTCTGGAACATTACCTTATATTTTGTAAATGTTATGTCACATTCCTTTAAGTGTACTAATCCACAATTTAAACTGGTTTCGATAATATGGTATCCTGATTATATTCTCTCTCTTATATTTGGGTTTTAATATTTTAATTCCTTTATCCTAATAGATGCATAATAACTGAGGCCATATAAGAAGGCAGGCAGTAATTGAAGAGAGAAGTAATGTATAATATTTCAGTAAATATGTTGTTTCCCCAACATTAATTAAATCTTTGTGCATATATTTAAACAGAATACTAACAAAAATAAATTACTAAAAGCAGATGTAGACACCCTCATTCTTAGGAATGATTTGAAGAGAATGTTCACCAGCTTCTAAAATAGGACACATTTAAAAAGACACAATTTGGACACTATGCTGTGCAAGCTTTTCCATGAAGTTCTGCCAATTCGCTTATTTATCAAGTAGCCAACACCAACGATTGTGCAGGAATTGCTGATCTGGGTGGATAGTTTCAAGCTTGTGATAGTGTGTATTTGTTTAAAAAGTGTACAAACACTAAATAGGATTTGCATCTAAGGCAAATGCATTACACCACTATGGCACTTAGCCTCCTTCATGGTTATGTGCTATAAATGTGGTGGCCTCAGTCCAGATCCTAGTGGACAGATGTCCACACCAGGGCCGGCTTTAGGCACCAGCATCCCAAACATGTGCGTGGGGGGGCACTTTTCAAGGGGCGGCACTCCGCCCCCCCCCCCCTTTTTGTTTTTCTTCGGTGGCGGCACTCCGGCATTTTTTTTAATTTTTTTTTTGCTTGGGGCGGCAAAAAATCTGGAGCCAGCCCTGGTCCACATCAAACACACAAAAAATCACAAACAGTGCCATCATGATTGTTGGCATCTTTATTGGCAATCTCAGTAGAGGATCAAGGATGAAAAAAGCATTGACACTAAACTACTCTTAACTTTTGAGATGGTCCCACCAAGTTAGGATAGGGTAACATGGAGAACTGTCGTACTGGATCAAACCTGTGGTCTGTCTTGTCCAGTATTCTGTCTCAGAGAGTAGCCAGCTCTCCATAACCTTCAGAGGAAGGTTAAGGAAAGATGGAGTAGGTGGATCTGGGATAATCAGCCCCCTCCATGAAGGTCTCATGCTAATCCTAAATACACCTCTACCCCAATATAACACTGTCCTCGGGAGCCAAAAAATCTTACCGCGTTATAGGTGAAACCACGTTATATCGAACTTGCTTTGCTCCACCGCAGTCCCGCCCCCCCCGGAGCGCTGCTTTACCGCATTATATCCGAATTCGTGTTATATCGGGTCGCATTATATCAGGGTAGAGGTGTAGCTAGAAATTTGTTTAAACCAATACTGCATTTTCTTGTGTTACAATTCCAAAAAGCCTAACGCCTTTTCTTTTGTTTTAAAATCAAGGATAAAAAAAAAGTATTGTGGATGAACTATGCTTTAATTCATTTGCCTGATTGAATGTTGTGGTGATGAAGAACCACCTACTCATTACGGTTATATAGCTACTTTCAATACAATTCAGATACTGCATGTAACCTTTCAAACAATATCACTAGCCAAAATAAAATACATTACTCTTCTATTAGGAAGTACTCCTGTTGACTCTTCAAATTTCTAAACATGTTGCCATCTTTGCTTCAGATCTAAAGCTGAGACTAATTCAGAAGAAAAATCTTTTTAACTTGTACTGGATTCTTAGCTTAAAATTTAGGTTGGAATTCAGGAGCAGGAGAAATACTTCAGATGTGAACAACAGATGGCAAAATGCTGTGTGTGTGTTTAAAAAGTGTCAACATTTTAAAATATTCTGGGATATCAGATAGCAACAACTGAATTCTTTTACAGATATTCCTTCAGAAGAAGTAATATTTAGTAAACCACACATATGCACATATTATTATAAGACTATCCATCAATTAAAAAAATTGTAATAAGTAAGAGCACAAG